TTTTTCTTCAGTTGGACATTTATTGAACATTGTTTAAATCTGAAACAAAAATCATACTTTTATTTTACGCTTTGAAGCCCCAAACTTCATTTTAAAATAGCTTAATACACAATTCATTCGAGTATCAAAAAAAAAAAAGTTTAGAATTCGATGTGTTTGTTTCCCGATTGGAGGACAAAAATTTCTGGCCGCATAGAATTAATGTGAATTTTTCGAGGAATTCTTATAATAATTAGAATTCTTAGTTTCCCAACAAATTTTTAGATTCTTTAAGAACTGTTAAGATTGCTTTTTTTTTTCCTTCAAATTATTAACAAGATGACACATGAAGTCAGTTTGAGAGCACCTGGCTTTATCTGGATATCTTCATATTAACATAAATTAAAACTGAATCGATTTAAAAGAGTTATGGAACTTTGGCGTTAATTATATCAAAATTTTTATAAAGTGACTAGTGTTAAGTGGGTAATTGAGAGAGGTATTTTTTTAAAAAAAAAATCTCGACCAGTTGGAGAATATGGAAAATATATTTTTCAATTTTAAAGAGTATATTTTGTTTCGGGAACCTTTTAATAGTTCTTGGGTAAAAATTTTGTGTTCTGCGTTTTGTTTGGTAAAAGTTCTGTGTAAAACCAATATTCTATAATGATTCTAAGAAATTATCCAAATCTTTGAAAAACAGTTTCGGCTCATGTTGATTCAAAGTGATTTAAACCGTTGAAGAATGTTTGTGGTTAGTGTAAATATATTTATAATTAGGCCCAATTATGTTTACTTCAATTTCGGATTATTATTTTTTGTCAGTATTAAAGTTTATTACCTGGAGATATATTATATTTATTCCGTTTTCTTTACCAGTGCGAGGTAATTATGAATATATATCTTGTTAATTCAAAATTGATGATATTTTGTCTTATTTTGCTTTAAAAATGTCAAGAACTTACACAAAAAAAGCAGCACCCCTTTTACTTTCTAAAGAACCCGTAAGAAGCTTTTACGATGGCAAAAAGAAAGGAAACTTAATCGGCGAAAAACTAAGTCAGCTACAAATTAGTCTGACGAAAAACTTTGTATCTATTAATATTTTGAAGTGTTCGAAATTCCGATTGGCAATAAATTTAACGATCATCATTTACAAAATAACTGAATTTTCATCATACGAAGAACTCCAGTAGAAATTGGAGCACTTTAGCTGGTAGGAAAGTGGTCAAAATAATGCTTGGAAACAAGATTTATTCGACTATATAAATTATGGCTGTAAATGTGAAGAAGTGATCAATACTAGCATCAGCATCCTACGCAGTTCAATTATATTCATTTAAACTACACAAATAAAAGTGACCTGGAGGAAAGAGTTCTAGGTACAATGTAGTACAATAATGATTAGGAAATATATCGCTAACCTGCATATGGATGTTGAAAAATACGACCATTCATTTCTTGGCATTTTTAGGTCCTGGTCAACAAGTTGCGGAAGGCAGATCAAGGCTGGGATTGCTGCAGTCTCATCAGAAATGTTCTGCTGTTGTTATTGATGACTATGAGAGTTGCTCATGGCTGAAAGTCTTTATATAGCAAGACGGAAAAGATGAAAAACTGGTACGAAAAACATTTTATTATAGCATTTTTTTCGAGAAAAATAAATATCTGTAACTATCAAGATTTCCTTAAGATTTTAACATATATATAAATCTGCTTCTTTTCCAAGATAAAATAGAGGCCCGTCCCAGTCGAAAGTGAAAAACGACCAAGGACACGCCTACTTCTACAGCCCACAGGCTTTTTAGCCTCATCAGTGACCTTAAAGACTTGTTGAAAGATCAAGACGTACTGCATCTTCTCACAACTTTAATCCAGGGGAATTCCCCATACAACTGATGTACTACTGAATCAACTCATGCCTCACCTCATCATGGACTTATTATCTGATCCTAACTTTGAACTGTATATGACCTCTGGACTAAATGCCAAAACAGTATAGATGAATCGGTTAGAAGCACTTCGCGCTTAACACCGAGATTCCACTCATATCAATCAATCAAAAACCAAGATAAAATAGATATTGTAGAATAGTTCAAAAAAAGAATAAGTAAACTCCTCCCGAAAACTAATTATAACTGAAATGGTTTTACTACCAGCCTTTTCTCTTTTCCGTCTCGCTTTCACCCCTGTAGTTGTTGCGATACACCATAGACTAGAAGGTTCTTCCGAAAAAGTAATCACACACTGGCAGATCAGATAATCTTTGCGCCACCATTCAATTAAATTTTAATGACATTGTTTCTTAACCCTTTCAAGACGAATTTATGCCACCATGACTTGCAAAGAGGTATAGAATGAACAGAAACATCTCTTTGATTATAAAAAAACACTTCCGTTGCATTAAATTTATGAAAACGGTAATAAAAGACAACATATTTCGATGACTCAAAAATAGGCACGCATTCTCAAGACTCGCAAGGTGTGAAAGACAAAAACAAAAGTGAGTTGAAATTGGAAACGAAAAAAAAAAGGAAAGTAGGCAAAACTATAAAAACCCCGGTTGCAGAGAATGAAACAAGAAATTAAAAATAAACGCGAAAAGAAAAACAAAACTAAAAAGCGCATGGTTACTAATAAGAGAAACCAATGCATTTTTGCGCTCAATGGAGATGTATGTAGAAAAATAAATCAAGGCGAAAAAACTGAAACTCGAAAAACTGCAGGAGCCGAGAGAGGCCAATAAAGGCAAAAGACATTTCTTATGCTATCGAGAAGTAGCTTAATATGTATGAATGTGCTTAATATGTTTTGCTTGTTGGTTGCATTTTTATTAATAGACTTTTACAAACTCTCCAAATATGCAACTACGTAAAATTTAAAAAACAAACAAGCAAATACCAGCTTACCGACATGCAATGTGCACACTTCGAGGTGTGATGCATCATTCAGGGGCGTTACTTAAGTGGAGCGGACTGCGTAACAAATGGGTTCATAAGTAGAGTTTCTATTAAAAAAATAATACTTCTCTTTCTTCCAGCAAAATAAATTATCAAAAAAAAAACATTCTTTCTTGATAACAAATAATTATTAATTGTGAATATAATTATAACATATATTTACAATCTACACAGAAAATGTTTCATAGGGATTAAGCAATCATCAATTCATTATATTACGGAAATATATTATTGTATTAAATTAAACTTAAGTAAGAAAAATTTTTTATAATACTTTAATTTTTTTCCCCTTTCAACTGTCGGTTTCAACGAAACTAAATATTTTTAGACACATAATACTTTTTGTTTCTCTAAACAGAATTTTTACACTTTACTAATACAATGTTTCCTTTTACATCATACACTTTTGGGAAAAGTCCCGGATGAATAGATATGGTAGGAGCTTTCACACTGTTTTAGCTGCAGAAAGCAGCCCCACATCTCGTCACTCCAGGCATCGGCAGCTTAATAAATATTTCATACTCACTACTTCACTTCAGATCTTGGCCAATCAGTCGCCTGCCCAAGATATGGAAACGGTTAATAAATATTCTACAGTAACCGTATGCCTAGAAGTAAAGTGAAATGTATAATTCATGAAAAAGTCTCTCACATTTACGCTTTTGCTCAACAAGAAGGATTTCATTTTTCTGCCTTTTTTGGCAATGGTTTCTTTATTGAGCAGCGCCATCTATATGCTCTTTCTGTAGAATTTGTTTGTAATTAATGAGGATGTTTGAGAGTTTGAAACTTTTGAATCGTATTTTCTGGTACACTATGTTTGTGTTATTTTTATGATGATTGGATTTTTATGCAGAATAATGCTTTGCGAAATAATTTGTCAATTTGATAAAATAATGTAAAACTGCTGAAATTGATTAAGATATAATTTGTAAAAACAAGTGTCTCTAACATTTAATGGCATAATAGCGTGGATTGAAAATTGCAGAATAGAGACATTTTAAAACGAAAAAGAACAATACAAGAACAAGGTCAGTACACATATTGAAAATGTAAATGCCAAAGCATACATATAATACCAAAAAATTCAGGCTCTTTTTTGTTCTTCTGCTGTCACTCAACTGAAATAGTTTGGTGACTTTTATTATATGGCTTGTAATTTTCTATAATTTGTGTGGTTTAAATATATTTGACAATATGATAAGACCAAAAAATTCCGAAGTTTTTTTTTCTATTCCGGCTGTCACTCAACTGGAATAGTTTTGGTGACTTTTATTATATGGTTTGTGCCTTCTGAAAGTTGTATGATATAATTATATTAGGCGATATGATAAGATCAGAAAATTCAGAGGTTTTTTTTCCATTTCAACTGTCACTCAACTTAAATAGTTTCGGTGACTACTATTATGTGGTTTGTGTTTTCTGGAAGTTGTATGGTAAAATTTTATTTGGCGATATGATAAGACCAGAAAATTCTAAGCTTTTTTACGTGTTTCGTCTATCACTCAATTGAAATAGTTTCGGTGATTTTTATTATATGATTTGTACTTTTTAGAAGCTGTTTAGTATAAAATATTAGATTGGATGATGTGTAGTTTCAGGATGTATAAATATAAAAATCTTACGTTTCCATTTGTTACAACAGAGACCGAAATATTTTAAGTTATAGCCATTATGATAAAACCATATGAAAGGAAACGTAATACAGTGGGTGATCGGTTAACGAACAGATCGGTTAACGAACAAATCGGTTAACGAACACTTTCACGAAAGTTTTTTGAGTTCGGACAACGAACACATATTCGGATAATGAACAAAACGAATTCTAACGAACACGTTTCGGCCTGAAGAAAAATTAATATTAAACATTTGTTATTATTTTGCATACAAAATAAGATCACTGAAAGGAGAAATGGTTAAAGCATGCTTAGTATTAATAATTACTTAATGAAACTTGAATTAACAATGAATTTAAAAGTCATTCAAAAATTATTATTATGAGGAGCTGAAGGAGTAACGAAAATCACATCTGCGAAACTAAGAAATGCTATCCATGATAAAATGGAGAGTTTGCTTTTAGTTTGGATAAATGAACGGGAAATGAAACGAGATGTAACTAGTATGCCTATCACTCAAGAGAACGCTAGAGAAATTTTTGAGAAATTGAAAGAACAAACTCCAGGTTCGTCATCCGAGGAGTTAGAATTCAAGGCTACCACTGGCTGGTTTACAAAGTTTAAAAGAAGGTCTGGAATTAAACATGCATTAATGCGTGGTAGGTCTGCTAGTGCAGATAAAGAAGCAGCTGAGAAGTACTGTCTCAAATTTCAAGAATTCATTGAAATAGAAGGATATCGTCCACAACAAATATTTAATTGTGATGAAGCTGATTTGTTTTGGAAGCGCATGCCGAACCGTACCTACATCACGAAAGATGAGAAAAGTGTGCCTGGGCATAAACCTATGAAAGACCGATTGACGTTACTTCTGGGAACTAACGCTAGTGGGGGTATGAAGCTTAAACCACTTCTCGTTTACCACTCTGAGAATCCCAGAGCATTAAAAACAAATTCCATAATTAAGAGCAAATTGCCTGTAATGTGGAGATCGAATCAGAGGGCATGGGCCATGCAGTATCTTTTCAAAGAATGGCTAATTAAAGTTTGTGCCCCGAGCATCAAAGACTATCTTGATACCGATGACTTACCGTTGAAAGCACTGCTGCTATTGGACAATGCACCAGGACACCCAAAGGATCTTGAAGATAATTTGTTGACAGACTTTCCCTGGCTGACAGTTCAGTTTTTACCTCCGAATACGACTTCGCTGATTCAGCCGATGGATCAGGAGGTTATTGCGGCTTTCAAGAAATTGTACACTCGCGCGCTGTTTCGTCGGTGTTTTGAAGCAAGCCAATTCTCCTCAACAATGACTTTAAAAAAGTTTCGGAAAGAAAAATTTGACATTCTTGAAGCTATTCGTATCATTCAAAAGGCGTGGTCAGAAGTCACACAGCGACAGTTGATTTCTGCTTGGCGGAAGCTGTGTCCATCCTTCGTTCAAGGTGACGGAGGTGATCAGGGAGACACCCCTGAAATTATGGATGAAATTTTGACAACTGCTAGAGATCTGGAATTGGAGGTGAACGAGGATGACATAGAAGAGCTCATAATGGGACATGTAGATTAACTGACGACAGAAGAACTCCAAGAAATTTTGAATGAAGAACACCAAGAAACACAGCGAAATGTGTCTCCTTCTGAACAAAAGGAAGACGAAAGAGGATACCAATGCCGACATCTGCCGTTAAAGATCTTTTGAAAAAGTGGGAGGATGTCAGAGCAATGGTCTTAGAATGGCACCCAAACTAAGCTGATGTCAGTAGGGTTGGGGATTTTTACAACGACAATGCTATTAATTACTTCCGGAAAATCCTGAAAGAGAGAGAAAAGCAATCGACATTGGACATGTTCTTCAACGCCCCATAAGCAAAAAATGAAAAGGACTGATTAATATGCAAGACTATATGTATGTATTATTTTTTAAAAAACTTAATAAGAAATTATACATTTTTTTAAATTTAATTTTTAGGGTCTCCAGAACGAATTAATCGATTTCACATAGAAGTCTATGGTGAATCGATGATCGGTTAACGAACAATTCGGATAGCGAACATAGTCTTGGAACGGATTATGTTCGTTAACCGATCACCCACTGTAATTACGTTTCCTTTATAAAAGTGTCATCCAGAGATAACTGCAATAAAGTTCGTTCGTTGTAGTGGAAATGGGCGTCTGAGGCCTTACTGCAATAAAGTTGAATTTGACATTTGATTTGATACTTTGAATTTATGATATGTAGTGGTGGAAAAATTACTTAAATTGAAAAATACTGAAATAAAAATAATGTAAATTTAGTTACTGCTAGAAAATATTTTTTTTTACAAAGCGGAACAATTTTGCACCTTTGTGTATTCTCAAAAATATTGTTAATAAGAAAAGCTTAACAAAATCTGCTTCAAGTATAATAGAATTTATGCAAATCCAAATACATTTTAAGTTATCTCATTTATTTTTTACCTGTCAAAAAACCCAATCTAAGTATTCTTAATACGGAAATTATTATCTCTAATTTTTTCTCTCACACAGACGTTTGATAAGATGTGTGTTGGGTAATTATTCAAAGCTGTATCTTTTGACATGCATGGTTTAATGCTCTTTAAGCTGTGGTTTTGTGCTCTATTAATGGTCAGGACCACGCCCAATAATCTGACAAGGCATCTGGCAAGTTAAATACTGGTTCAAATATGTTGCGTAAAGCGACAGATAAGGGAGAGGATAAAGTCAAAATTTCTTTGAGAGGCTTTACGTCAAAAATACGACTACCTAATTACGCTCCTTTACCTAAGATCAGTTGGTTTTGTTCTGAAGATCTTTTTTAATTTAAGGACATGCTAAAAATTACTTTTGCATGTTCCTGCTGCAGGCTTTTGAATATGAAAATAGTTTTATTTGGAAAATTGTTTGTGATGTGGCAAAATGATGTTTAAATATCGAATATAATAAAATCTTCAATTAAATTTACTTGAGCAGACATGGATTAGTGGATAAAACTTTCGCCATTAAATAAGGGGAACCAAGTTCACATCCAAGGGGTGGCTGGCTGATACGAATTCTGAATTTGGCTATCAAAAACCTCAGTGTTGACTTGAAAAAATATCCTCGTGATAGACAGATTATTGTAAAGAATCCCCTTACCGTCGGTCTAATTGGGGGAGGTTTTCATTATTTTCCTCTCCAAGTAACGCAAATGCTGTTCAGTTCCCTCAGAAAGTCCTCCCACAAAGGAAAATTTCTCCCAATACTTGATCTAAGAGTTCCTTTGTCTTCTGGATTAAGTTCAAAATTACAAGTCTACGGAGTTACAAGCTACGGTCGACTGTTCAATGACGGTTAAAAAATAAAATAAGATATTAATATCGAGAGCCATGGTGGTTCTGGGGATAGAGCCCTAATCTTGCAATAAGGTGACTCAAGTTCGGATCCCAGAGCTGGTTGGTTGATACGAAATCTGCTCGTGACTCACGGCGATCACAGTGCTGACTTAAGATCACATTTCTGTTTTCCTGTTCATGTAATGCAAATGCCTATTAGCTCCATCAGAAAGTTCATCCCTAAGATTATAGCTTTTCCCGATACTTGATCCAGGAGTATGATGTATCCATCAGATGTTTCGAACGATTCCCGCATAACTCCATAAATATTAGTCCTATCACTTTGAAACTTGAACAATCGTTTTGTTGCCAAAATGATCACCAAGTGTTGCCAAGTCACCACGGTCATTTCTAAGTCGCCCAAATAGTTGCCAAACCGAGTCTTCTGTAAGAAATATACTAAGCTTTATTTTATTTCTAAATTACGTCAAAATTACGCGTCTTTCTAGAAAATTTTCTGATTAAACTGTTTATTTAAGGTCCATTTGAGATATTTAGCCTCATAACAAAGAAATGTTCACAAAGGTCTGCACATATTTACGAATTTGTAACAATACGAAGAGATTTTTTTTATAAACTTTACACTGTGAGTAAAGTAGCTCTTAAGTCATAGTTAATTTATGGTGAAACTCATTATTTTTTCAGGATCGTAAATATACATAGTAGTCATTTTCATAACCTACTTCATAATAAAAAAAACAATCAAAACTTATTCAAGCTTTAAGTCTAAACTTTTACTTACTCAAACATAAACTTTTCAAATTTTTGTGTAATGTTCCAAAAAATTATCATTTTATTTCCACTTAAATATCGTCTGCATAAAAGGCACAGTATGATAGTTAGCGCAAATGCAATTCTAAAGCTAGATCAATATTATTAACTAAAAGAAACTGCAAAAATAATTATAATTATAAAAGTAAACAACGATTCGAGTTTTAAAATTAAGTCTAAAAAACCGCAAGAAAGTATGATTAAATACAAGAACAATGACGTTTTTGATCGTAACACGCATGCGCAGAGGTAAATAGTGAAACCAATTCTCGTTTTTAAAAAAAAAAAGAACGTATTGTGATAACTTCCAGCTGAATAAAAACGATAATCAAGTTCGATTTAATTTTTTTTTTTTCGTTTTCTTTTCTCCTGTTCGAGTGGGATGGAAACCGTTTTCGTTAGATTTCAAAATCGAACGCCGATGAGTTTCTTCTCGCAACTCTCTTTTTCCCCTTTCACTTTTTTCGTTTACGTTCGAAAAAGCAGAAATCCTCATTCGTTTTCATTTTTTGCCACATCTTTTTCATTCGTATATATTTTTTTCCCATTAAGTTTGTGTTCTCTCCTGTTCTATCCAGTCAGGAAATATAAAAAAAAGGAAGTAAAGTCCGGAGAAAAGAACTTTATATCTTGGAGGCAAATGCGCATACACAAAAAAAATATTTTGTTTATTTTCTATTTCTTAGTGATTGTATATAAGTCGATGGAAACTTGCACGCGAAATATTGTTTCTGATGCATCGATATATCAGAAAATGTTTTTGAAGATATCGTTCTCTAATACACGAAGAAACTCATCGTCACAACTTTAATATCATACAGATATGTTTAAATTGTTTCAAAAAATACCCCAGGAAGTTTATTTTTACTATCGAATACTTAACACTATTAATGAACATTAGGCACTATTAGCTATATTATTACTATTAATACTGATAATTTTAATGAAACCCGACAAACTAATAAATATAGGTAAATAAAAAACTATTACTATTTAAATTTTTTACTGATATTAGCTGCAGTGGAATTGTGGACTATGGCTTTTAAAATTTAAATGTGCATTTGGTGTATTTTAAAGAAAAATCCTTCGAAATATTTTCAGTGGTTGTTGTTGTAGTTCATTTACGTTGCACTAGAGCTGCACAATGGGCTATTGGCAACGGTCTAGGAAACATCCCTGAGGAAGATCCGAAGACGTGCCATCACAATTTTGATCCTCTGCAGAGGGGATGGCACCCCCGCTTCGGTAGTCCAACGACCTACACGTGAAGTCAAGCGCTTTACGTTAGAACAGTTTAACGAGGACCAATACCGCACACCCTCGGTCCCTACGCAGACTGATCCAAGTGGTCACCCATCCGTACACTGACCGCAGCCAGTGATGCCTGACTTCGGTGATCTGCTGGGAACCGTGTCTTAACGATCAGTCTACTGCTGGACTATTTTCGGTGGTCACAATATTAACGAACTATGGAGAAGAAGATCTAACCAGGAACTTCTCCGCCTTTATAAAAAAAAACATGCTCTTACCAAAGGAAAAAATGGACTGGTCATCTAATGCGATCACAGAATGAATGTACAGCTAAAAGAATTTTCGTGACTAAGCCATTTGTTTTTCGAACGAGGAGAAAACCCTTACTCAGACGGTCCAATTCCATAGATAATGACCAACTCGTATTGAACTGTGAAAACTGAAGAACTTTTTCTGAGAACAGGTCAGGGTGAAAGAGAATCTTCGAGAATTCCAGGACCCAGCCTGGACTGCCAATGATGGTGATAATTAGCTGATGTATTATAATTTTTAATAAATTTGCTATTTGTGAAAATTCATTCTGGCTTTGGATGTTTTAGTTCCATCACTCGAATTTTATCGATTCCTGATTAATTTATTTGTAGTTTCCAGTTTAAAGCAAAGTTTCCAATATTGGAATACGGATATAAGGGGAGATTAACCGTGAGATTTAGGTGAGATAAGGGGATTCGTAGCTTAACTGTAGGAGCGGGTTAACCTTCGGAGAATTTCAAACTTCAGTAGAAATACGAGCTAATTTTATTCAAAACGTTCCTCATGGAGATGATTTGCCTCGGTGCTTGTATCAGGTGCTCCTTGTTCTATGAAGCAAGTTCTAATTTAATAGGCAAAGAAATAGAACATCAAAGAAATCATGCAACCCTCTCCGTCTGCATAGCTTCCTTATATTAACTAGATAAACACTGCGCAAGCTTGTAAGTAGTTACTTCGCGTTTGAGCAATGAAGATCTAGTGAAGAGAAGAAATTGATTAGATAGAAACGGGTGAGAAAATTCTTTATTAAGAACGATAGGACTGTACAAAAATAAATTAGATGTATTATATATAAAATTACAAGTCTGCTCCAAATGTTACAAAATCACGAATTTCTTTATTTTATTTATTTTTTTTTTAA